GATTTTTGTTGACTTCCTATGTATTTTGTGTTATCCTCTGGTTTCTCAGCTACTGTTATTATTGATGTATCAGTTTGGTTTGGTTTTTTTTTCAGAATAGAGTCTGTGTGTTTTTTATAGTTTTGCACACCAATCTTGCATTTTATAATTGGTACTGCAATGAGCAATTGTTAGCTGTAGATGCTGTTGTCTGTTCGACAATTTGCAATATTTTTTTTTCAGTTTCTAGGAGCCAGAGTGATTAGGGTGTGTAGCTAAAATTTGTCCCATGCTATAGATAAAGTCCCATAATGTTTTAGGTTTGTTTGGACATTTTTTTGTTTTGTTTTGTTTTTCACTAGCAAAATCTGCTTTATCATTTTGAGTATAGAAAGGGAACTGATTGCAATAAAAGCAGAACAGGATTTATGGTATGTTCTTATAAATAAAGCCTGCCAAATTATGTAAGACATGGCATGTTGCATTGTTCTGTTCTCATAATCTATGGTGCCATATGGACTTAAAAAAATAGGACTATTATATGTGTTTCTGCAGCATAATTGGCATTGACATTTATATTGATTGAATAAATGAAATAACATGCACAGTTCTGACAATCTTAGCAGATTTGTAAGATTACAGCAGTGATGATTCCATGTCAGCAAAAAAGTCTTTAGGAATTCAAAATGAAGCCACAGCCAGTTCATTAATATACATATGTTTGAAATTGTAGCCCTAACAATTGAGTTCTCTGCACTGAACGCTATAATATATATTGTCATGAGCTATATGCCCTCAGATCGTTTCTGTGAATTACAAGAAAATTACGGAGAGGAGAACATTTTATTATTGTGCTTTTCATCCAGGGATACAGCCTTTCACTGATGAAAATTGAAAACACTGAAAATTAAAATGTAAATGCATTTATCAAAAGAAGAGGAAAAAATTGAATCCTGAACTTAAACTGCTTTTGCATTTTACTTCTTCAAAAAGCAATTTTGATACTTACATCTCAAAAGGACGAGTAGTCAGGCTCTGTAATAACTATTTGGATTCTTACTAATAAGTGACTGGTTGTTTGTTGCTGTGGGTTTGAAGATTTGTTTTAGTAAAACAGCATGGAAAGCTGTGTGTGCATTTATTTGTGTGATTGCATACTCTGAGAGATAAACAAAATAATTATACATTTATTTAGTGTTTCTCACCTTTCTGTTAAACATGTTCTTTTCTGTGTTTCTTACAGGTCAGGGCCGCATTAGATAGGGTATGAGTCACTTGTGTCTTTGTCGGGAAGAAAGACAAGGCAGAGAAACAGTGATGCACACTAGAAGATTCTTTAAGTGAAATTTTGTACTTAATAGATAGGAAAAATGCATAATTTAGGATTTGTTAAAGCTGGATTATTTTTCCCATTAGATTAAAAAAATATGTATTTTTTTTGGTTTGCATCCTAACTTAAGTGATGATATGTTAGGAACCCCTAAGAAGAAGCCCATCCATATGCTGAAGAAGACCATGGGCTCAATTTCCTGCAGAGGAAGAGTGTTGGACAAAGCATGGAAGCAGGTAGAGTGTGCAGCAAACTGGGACAATATGTGCCTCTGATGCTGCTGTGTAATGTAAGGCAATAAGAGGTTGATTGTATTATCTGAATGGAGAATGTGCCTGTTTGTGCAGTCCTTACTGTATACACAGCCAGAATAGTTGACTCCCTGCAGCTAAAATCCATTCAAATCCTCTACAAGTGATATAGGTAATGAGTAGGTAAATCCTTTGTATAGCATTTTTGATGCTTTTGTAATTATTTTTCTTTTTGTTAACATTAGAAACACATTTTTTATGGTAGTTATTTTCTGAACTCCTTCATGTTGGGTAACAGCGCTATTCTCCCTAGCTTTAAGTGACAAACCTGACAGAGTTAAGGGCCTAATGCCAAAACTCCCACCCATGTGTAAAACCAGAAGAGGCATCAGAAGAGCAAATGAGCACTGTTCTTCCTTCCCTGACTTACACACATCCCTAGTGACTCTGACCACGTAGTGGGATGCTGGTGTGGTCAGACACCATGAGTTTACAAGCTCTTCTGTCCTTCTCCCAGCTCTGTGCCCAGGATTTCCAGCCCCAGAAGGAAAGGAAGGGGACCATTACCAGCATCATGTCCCTGGATCATGTCCACCTCTGAGTGACACTTTAACACAAATCATACCTCCACATGGATAAACAGATTCCTTGACTGGCTAGTTTTAAAAGAATTGGAGACATTTTGAGCAGTCCCTTATGCCAGCTGTTGGTTCCTCCTTCCATTGTTATGGGTAAAGCATCCCTAATCAGGATGGTGAAGAAGGATGAGTGCCAGTTTTGATGGACCCTCCCACCACACTGTGAGGGGAAGGGGAAGGCAGCCTTGGATGGGGATTGGTACTGCATTGAAGGAATTTATGTTTCTGCAGTTTTATCCTCACTGTGCCCTTGACTAAGTCATCAAAAGAGGCCCATTATTCTCAGATCCTCTGTCTTTTCTGTGCTTAGCTTGGAAGAATTCAGACTGAACATACCAAATAAAGTAGATGTTTGTCTATTTTAGTGTTCCCCATTGTATTTGGAAGACAATTTTTACCTTTCCTTAATATTTTAAAATAACTTTCAATTTCTAAGGTGGTAAATAAGCATAAGAAACACACACAGTGCCATACATAGCACGATGACTATCATGGAATAATTGGCACCAAGCAAAAATTACTGCCTTTTAGGATCTCAGATACTGAAATGGTTGAGAATTTTCTGGGTTCATATTTCAAAGAAAATAACTTGTCAAGTAAAGAGATTTAAAAATTAGTGTCTACTTATGCTAAAAATGTTCATAGCATTTTTTTTAATAAAAGAAAGTAATTATCTTTATTTAAAATAAATTACTTAAAATTGTTCTATTTTGTTTTGGTAGGAAAATCCTTTATTTTTAGTTCTATTAAAGTTTCTGATACTTTTTTACTTTAAAAGGAAAATTACTTCAACGTTTCAGATGCTTCAGACAGTAGAATATCTTGGGCTATCAAAACAGAATACAACAGTCATGATCAGAAACATTTTACTTTAGCATGTAAGCCATTATTTCTATAAAATCATTGATATTCTTAGGATTTAACAGGCATGTTTGGTGAATTTATTTGCATCTTTCCAATGTTTTATGCATTTCTTGTTGCAGTTTCATCTCTGTTATTTCTGTTCCCCTGTCTTTCTTGAATTTATGATTAATGTTTCTTTAGGCAACAAAACAATACATTCCAGACCAAGAGTTATGCAAAGACATAGCAATTTTTTAGAAATAAAACAAGTCAATAAAATACCAGTATATAACAAGTTTCCTCTCCACGCAAGAGATCTTGTAGGTAAAAGTTATGCTTAGACCAAAATAACAACTGTCCTAAAAGGAAAGAAAAATGGAACAGCAAGAGATGTTTGTGGAAAATTCCAGTCACTACCTGGATCTGGATACAATTGCTAAAGAGGACAAAAGAACTAATGGCATGGATTTAAATGGATCAAGTTTCTCTTCTGCAGTTTGTCTCTTTATTAATGACCCATGAAAAGTGAAGACCAAGAGATTTGCACCAAAGAGCTGCCAGAGACTAAACCAACCATTACCTCTTGAAAGATCGCATCGTTGATGCTTTAAATTAAAAGTTTATTGCCATTGTAAAATGTCTGTGAGTTATGAAATATATGGTTTTCAGAGAGTGGTCATTATTTTTTCAGCTAAAGAAGAAGTGTCCTTTCCCCTTGGGAGCAGTGTGAAATGGAGCCCTCTGTAGGTCTTCCTTAGCTGAGATTCCTGGCCAAAGACTATTCAACTTTTGCCATCCACATCTGGTTCTTTCTTTGTTCTATTTGAAAGCAATGAACCAAGCTTTGGGTCACATCTGCAGGCCCTACTCTAACAGTGAAATAAAAAGAACCATATTTATTTATGGAAGAAAGATAATAATTTTCCAACTGATCTAAGACAAAGATGGGGTTTGTTTAGCCCGAAGTAAAGGAGACTCAGCGAGGACCTTATCGCTCTGTACAGCTACCTGAAGGAGCGTTATAGGTGGGTGTTGGTCTTTTCTGCCATGTAACAAGCAATAGGACAAGAGGAAATGGCATCAAGCTGTGTCAGTTGAGGTTTAAATTGGATATTAGGAAACATTTCTTCACTTAAAGGGTGGTCAAGCACCGGAACAGGCGGCCCAGGGAAGTGATGGAATCAATGTCCTCAGAAGTGTTCAAAAACATGTAAATGTGGTGCTTAGGGACAGAGTTTAGTGGTGCAGTGCTGGCTTAATGGTTAGATTGGGTGATCTCAGAGGTCTTTTCCAACCTTAATGATTCTATGATTCTATGATACTATGGTTTAGTGGTGAATATGGCAGTAATAGGTTAGTGGTTGGACTTGATGGTCTTAAAGGTCTTTCCAACCCAAACAATTCTGTGATTCTCTGATTCTGTGGTACAGCCTCCTCCTGCATCTAGCACAGGAGTGCCTTGGGAAAAAACCTCCCCTGCCTCAGGCTGCTCTGCACCCACCTGATTAACACCTGAAGGGCAAATACTTTGAGACCTATATACCAGCATGGCCCACAGGGATTTGGATCAGTTGGTTTTGGGGTACAATTCACTAACAGGACTGTTAGTGGCTTAGTGACCACAGCTGGATGGAGAAGCCAGACAGATACCTGTGGAGAGCATTGACTGCCTGTTCGACAACCAAATATTCTTTGTGCGAAGGAGAAGGTAATATTGTAATGAAGATTCAGAAGTTTGGAGCTCCATACTGTGACTCAGGATCATTCAGGCTGTCATGGGTTAAGATTGGCCCCCCCTGAGAGTCGGGGGGCTCAGAGGTGATTGGGTGCCAGGACAGTGTTCCCTGGAGAGCCAATTACCACTCGTCTTGTTCGCTTCTGCTCAAAATCACATATACACAGCACCGGAAGCTGTTGGCAGTGTTTCTGTTGGTGTCTGCTGCGTGTGGGTGTAGAAGGCCAGGGGGTGGCTGGGCTCCTTCTCCCCCGCTCCGAGGGGGAAGGGGAGCCCTGCAGCCCCCCAGCTCTGCCTAGGGCAGAGTTAGAGACAGCATTGGAGTGAGTGAGTGTTTGTGAGGGACGTGACTCACAAACAACTGGTAAGCGAGAGAGAGAGAGAGGCAGGCCTTGCGACCAGGCCTTCTTCTTCTTCCCCCCCCCTTTTTGCAGCCAGGCTGCAGAAGGGGCTGTTTTTCCTCTCACTGTTTAGTGGGAGTGGTGCAAGGCTCAGCATTGAAGCAGAGCCAAGTGGACGGGCTGATAATGGAGCAGCTCGGCGCTAGGGAAAAGAATCCCAGGCGAAATTGGAGACAGGCCAAAGGGCTCGGGAATTGCCCTACAGAGATTTGACCAGGGGCAGCCGAAAACTGACTTGGAGGAATGAAGATTCCAAACGCCTACTGTGATAAGCTACACTACAGCAGCAGTGAACCGAGGTATGAGACTGAGAGGGAGAGATCACACAGCAGAAATGACACAGGACCAAGGAGAAAGGACTCAGAGCTACCTTCTTGGACTTGGTGAGGAAGGAAGGACTTCCACAAACAGCTGGAGTTTGATGAGGGGGGAGCGTTCGGGTCCCTGAACACTCCCATGAGAGAGAGACTGGTTACTCATCAGCCTGAAAAGGCTTTTCCTGGACTAAAGTTAAAAGGAGAAGCTTTGAAGGGACTGATAGAAGTGTAATATATACATATATATAGTTGCTTTTAGTTTGTACAATATATTTATTTACGTAAATAAATGTAAATACTTCCCCTTTCCCCTACAGAAGCCTCTGGCCTGAAAGTTTTCTCTTCAGTGTTAGGACAAATTGTGGGAAGGGGTGGGGAAGCTTGGTAATTGGATTTTGGATTTCTAATGTGGCTCAAACTGCCACACAGGCCTAGCTTCAAAATATCGCTGTGCAAGGGAAATACCTTAATAATTGCTGTGTGCAGAGGCAGAGCTTAGCTCCAAAGAACTACTTTATGCTAGACAAAATTGCTCTCACAGACGCTCAATCACAAGACCTCTTGTTTCTGAATAACAGAAATATTCTCAGCTGAGAAATTTGGTCACTGGTAGTATTGAGGCAGCTTGAGAAACAGCCACTTCTCTGTCAGTGGTGGGGAATGTAGCATTTGTAGTTCTTCTGCTCAGGAATTAATGGGACTGCTTTCCAGGACACAGTATAAGGAACTCCTGCAAAAATGATGTAGGTGCCTAAAACAGGCAAAACTGAAGTGCATATACTGAGAACTGTAATTTTGAAATAGTTTTCTTGGATCTCGCTTACATATGGAGGAATCTAAACTCCACAGCTGCCTGATTTTATATGATTGTGCGGTTTTTAATTTTTTTTTTATTATTTTTTATTTTACAGTGAAAATTGGGTCACTTATGAAGAGTCTTAGAGACTCCATCTCACCTTCCTGTCCTGCTGGAGATGGTTCAAACACAAATCTCTCACCTTTCCTCCATATGAGAGGCTCAGCCACTGTGATGCTGGTACAGGAGCTGGAGTGTGGTGTGAGTGGGCAGAAAGTGTCTGTTGTCTCTCTAACTGAAGCTGTTCCACTGAACAGAAAAACCTTCTCAAATAAACAGATCAACAAGACCTTGTATCCTCTGGTAGTTTTTACAGTCACCTAGCAGAAATCTGCATACCAACCCTTCACCAACATGCATTTGCATGCCTTTATATGGAAAAATCATTGGAAAATATATTAAAAAATCTGACCCTGTGATCTTTGTTTCCACTTTTTATTAATTGGATTGTGCAAAAGTGCTCTGTGTAGGAGGAATATTTGTCAGAAGTATGAAGCTTTTCTTGCTGAATGGAAAGAAGAAAACATGCTCAATAAGGTGGTGTATGTGTCTCATAAGCTAAGCTTCAAGTTGATCTTATGATCCCACAAAGCAAAGGGCTGCTTATAAAATATGTCTTAGTTTCAAAGTATAGAATCAAAACCAGTTGTTGGTGGCGATACCTTCTGTGCATTCCTGCTACTATCCACAGAGAAAGAAAGTGCAGGCACCTGAGACACTCCCTGGTAGTCTATGCACAGCACGGAACTCTCAGAAAAAAACTCAGAAATTTATAATGTTCTTTCTCCCTATCTCTGTCTTGTTCTCTGTCCAGCTGAGGCCTGACTGCACAGGCATCCTGGCTTATACAGCTGAGAAAGTCAGGTCTCAGTGCCTTCCTGGTTTTATGCAAAGATTTTATTTAGACTCTGCTCTGTTTCCTAAATTCGAGCCTTCTGTGCTTTACTGATGTGCATTTACGGCTGGACAATTCCCATTACTGAGCAGCAGTATGCAGTGCTTCTGGTGGGGCTAGAAAATGAACCTGAAACTAAACAAACCATTGTTTATCTCATTATATGTGTCTTCAGAGAGCCAAGAGCAGCCCACACAGTGCCACTGTTCTGTGGATTAATTCACAGCTGATGAAAGCAGATTGTTCTTTAAAGCAAAAGCTCTATCTTTGGAATGTGCCCTCATGAGCCTCACTGCCCTGCATTACCCAGTGCCTGTAGGAGTCACAAGACCTTCGAAGATGTGCCTGCCAGTGTAGCCTCAGTAAGCACGGTATGCTTTATACCTGGATAACAAATTTACTTAAATGAGTGTTCACTTGTTGGCTGGCACTGTTTTCCCCCCGTTTTGTCAGATGGATGAATGTCATGGCAGCTAAGGACAGATGAAGGTTTGAAATATTACAAACAGAAGCCTTTCACTAAGATAATATAAACCCAATTTTTGCAAGCATATCTCTGAGGAGGAAATAGGCTAGAGATTATAATGAGGATATTTTCTAACTGTAAAATTTTGTTGAGATGCAAGCAAAAAAGAAAACAATCCACCCAGTAAACCTATCAAACTTAGCTTAATACTGAAACTACAGTCTTTCTTAAGACAATACTGTTTGAAATTGCCACATCATTCAATTTTAAGTGATTTGCATATCAAATGCAAAAAAATTATTATCTGGAAACTTTCCCCCTCTACCCTCTGAGACATATGGTGAGACAGCAACAGAAATGATGGATGTAGTGGATGATTGCTTGCTGAACCAGTGTGTGAGAAACTATGCTAGGAATAATTCATGTCAAGACATGGTCTTAACTAAAAGACGTATTAAAAACAACATCTTGACAGGTTTAATATCTTACAAAATACACATAATCCGTGACTTCCAAGGCATGTGATTATCTCAAAACATGATATTTTGGTATAACTTCAATTTTATGAAAAGATCTCAAGAGATGCTTGATCTAATGTTAAATCAACCTTTCACAAAATAAAGGAAACTTCAAGTCATTCTGATGTATGGTACAGCCTCATCTTTATCTAATACTGTTTCAAATCAGTGGTAATTCCTCAGGGAAAATGGAGTAACAATGGGAGGAAACAGGAGAAAGTGACCCAGTAAACAGGATAATGAGACATTTTGGATGAAAATGTGTTTCATATAAACAAAGGATTTAATGCTTTTTCATGCTGAGAACCCACTGATGCCAAAAAATATGTTATGTCTGTTAATACAGCAGACATGTATTTCACGTGTATTTCTGTCACCTGCATTTTATCAAACAGGAAATTTTACAATAATTGAAGTGACAAAAGATTAAGTTGAATGTTTAGCAAATAGGAAAATCAGATGATGTTAACAAGTAAAACTGGCATTTTTTACCACTGTGATTAATTCATGGTTGTGACAGATCAGTAACAGTGACACCATGAGCAAAGATCCTGGGTGAGGGGACAGAGGACTGAGATGGGACATAGGGACAGGCTGAGTTAGCACTGCTTGTGGCCTAGCATGGAATCCTGGGCATGCCAGTTTTCCCATGTCATCTCTTATTTGTCTCACAAGTTGAGGAAGCTGTCCTTGACCAAAGAACTTTTTAAGTATTTTGCACAGTCATTGGCCAGTGAAATCAGCTAATAATGAGTAAAGGCTATAAATATCTTCTACTCTGTAGTGGTTTTTATTAAAGGACAGCATCCCCAAGAACTGAAATAAAGAGAGCTGAGATCAGCATGCTGAAGGGCCAAAGAAATAATCCGTACAGGCATCTCTGAGGCTGGGTATAAAGAAGATTGTCTCTTTTACACTCATCTCTCTAAGATGTGTATCTGCCTGATTTTTGAAATTAAATTGGGTCAAATTTAGCAAATGCTAGAGGAAAAAATTCTTACACATCCTGTAGTGACACAGAGTTTAACAGATGCTGACCAGATGGAAACAGACATTTTTTTTTTCAAATTATCTAGTATTGTCAATTGAAAAGTATGCAGTTTTGTGGATTTATTGTGTTCCTCTCTGAAAAAAATCTTGCTGATTCTAACCAGTGGTGTTTTTATCTTTCCATAAATTAGGCAAAGGCTGAGATTTACCTCATCATGAAAGTATAACATACATTCCTGCAAACTAAGAAAGTCATAACATATACCCTGCAGTAATATTCAAAATACCCAGTCCTCTCTTATTGCTATTGTTTATCAGTTTACAAGTCTTGAAATAATAGAATCCAGATCATAAAATGATAAATAAAAATTATTTCCTATCCATAATACGTCTTTCTATCTGGCAAGTAAAATCCCGGCTTCCTATATCTTACATGTGAAACAGTGATTTTTTTCTACCAATGGCTATATTGTCAGCAGCTTCTTATTAATACCTGTAATCCTTTTCTTTGATGCCTTCTGACATCTCATAACTTAAGGAGCGTATATTTCTGTGCATAAACAGTTAGACATAGCAATAGAAGGGAACACAGTTTTAGTGGCTCTGAGGAAGACAGTTTGATGGCCAACAGCCCCAGCTTTTGAAGAGTCTGACTTATCTGACTTTACCTGTAAATCAACCTTTAAACTTAACTAATTGTTGGAAAAATATGCGAGACCCCCAAAGAGTAATAGGCAAGGAATAATGGAAAAACAACAGACAGAAAAAAAAGTAAATCAATCTTTGAAGTGAAATAGTATCAGAATAACTATAGATTTCTAAAGAAATCCAGACTTTTATTGAGGAGTCTCTAACTTGCTCACTGTCGTAGGAAGGAATAGTTAAATATTTGGTGTTACAAATTTTGCTAAAATGACCTCTCTGCACACATGCAAGAGACAAAAATTATTTCCATTCAATTCTCAGAGGGAACTTAGACATTCAGAAATTAAATTTTGGAATCTACCTTTGTAAGGAAAAATCAATATATTGTAACATTGGAGAGGCTAATTCAGTCAAACCACCTTTTTGATGCTTCCCTTGGAACTTTGTGCACTGGAATCCTGACATGGTATGGGAGCCCAGTGCTTGAGAAAAAGAAACATGCAGAGTCCTCTGTTTTCAGCTGGTAGGTGTGTGGCATTGTCTTGGCTTCTTCCAAGTCCACAGAAAAAGTCACTTTACATTACCAAAGTGTCTGACCCTAATTAGCCACTTGAGGAGACAATCAGGCTGTGGGCAAAGGCAAGCACAGAAAAAGGCAAAAGAACCATGGAGGATAAGGAAGAAAATTTTTGTTAGTTGAAAGTACAGAGGAACCTCAGTGACAAACATGCTTAATTTCATGGGCTGGGGCAATATGTAAAGCAAGGATTAGGTAAAAGTTTGCTTCATCTTTGAATTTCACCTTTAAAATTATTCAGATCATTATTTCTTCCATATTAAATAATTTGAGGGGTATCTAGATCAGTAACTTTTCTATTCCAATGTGCAAATTTTTATAATTTTTATTTTATTTTATTTTATATTTTATTTTATTTTATTTTATTTTATTTTATATTTTATTTTATTTTATTTTATTTTATTTTATTTTATTTTATATTTTATTTTATTTTATTTTATTTTATATTTTATTTTATTTTATTTTATTTTTTTTTATTTTTTCCTCCTCCTGAACTGTGCAAAATGACATGCAGGATGGTGAGATAATTAGATCCCACTGGTGAATTTTAATTCTTTTTAGGTTACCACATGAGCAAACTGCAGCACTTCTTATAAACAAAAGGTTAATAACCCAAAACAAAAAAGGAGACTCCATTCTCCCAGCTGAAACAGCAATGTTGATACCTTTTTGTTTAGGGTCTTAATAAGCTGAGATGGCCCATTCTTTCAGAAGCACTTCTCTGTGTGTCAGACTGATTCAACGTATCAATGAATTTATAGGTGAGGTGAGTCCAAGCTCAAATAAAACAGGAAATAGAAGTTCTGACAGCAAACATCTAAGCAGTGAGAAAGTACTTTCCTATTTTGTTTCTATTTCGTGTGAGTTTAGAAGACAAGAACAAACAGTAAGAGGTGAAGAAGTAAAAAAATGGTACTAGAGTGATGAGTTCCCTGTTTATTGCACTCAGCAATAGCTTGCAGACAGATTTCCTTGAGTGCAGTGGATGTATTTGTCTGAAATTAGAAAGGTATAAAACCAACCCATTGGTTTAGTCCCACAGGATGGGATACAAAGCTGAGGCACATCAATAAAAATTGAATTAGATTTAGAGCTCTGCCCTATTACCTAATTATAGCATGGTTAGAGATATATGGTAATTTATCAATAAAGAGAGACCTATTGAACATGTTAGTCATAGGCTTCACGCTGGAGACTATTTTCATTAATCAAGCAGCTAGATAGTTACCCTCATCACCTTACTTTTAAAGAAAGGCGAGTTAAGTTTCTCCCGTAGAGTTGGTTCTGTCTCAGTGTCCAGCCAGAATATACACGAATCAAGAAAAAAA